TCACATACACACACATATACATTCTCTTGTCTATTGATGGGGAGCGCCACCTGCTGGAAACTAGGTCCAGCGTCCCATGAACATCGTGAATAAAGCACCAACCGGCACCCCCCCCCCCCACACTCTTCGAGTTGTGTATAGCGAACATGACAAAACATACATACAGCATAATTAATACCTTACCCTTCCCGAACCACATAAACAAACGAACTACGGGCTGCGCACCCGTGCCCTCACGGTAAGTCAATGATTTTAGTCTGTCCTTCTTACACCTATCCCCCGAATCGCCTATTCCTCTCAGATTCCAACTCATTAGTCTGAGTTTAGACATGAGTGGTCTGTCCCCCCCAATTTTGTTGGATTAGGGGGGTCGACGACGGTTCTGAAGGCCATGCAGACGTCAACGCCAAACGTACAAAGTTAGAGTTCAGTTTTTTTTCCTTCGGAAGTTTGGATTCCAGTTCCAATAAACACTCAGCCGATCTCAATGGGGGAATACGAATGCGACAAATTTCTTGACGCTTCCGTTCCACAAACCAAGAGATGGGAATAAGGCGCAGGCCTTGAGCTTCCAGGGCGTCTAGTTGGCCGTCTAGAAATCGGACATCAAGCAAGGGGACGAAGAATTTAATATTCTTCCCCCGCTGCTCTGGATTATCCGTAAGAAGCCTAATCATAGTCACATCAGGGATCAATCGACATGCAAATTTGTCCCTAATTGCAGTGCGGATCAATACAGCTATAGCAGAGGGCATCGGAGTATCAGGGGCCATCAAACTTACCATCGCAAACGATCCATCCGGCTTTCAAACGCGATTGTCCAGAAAGCGTTTCGGTGGCTTTTTTTGTTTGTTTTACGAGGGTTGTGGATGATCAGGGCAGCAGTCTGGATTTGGCCATTTCCTGTCCCTAGATTCAAATCCCAACACCTGAGTTTCAAATATTCATGTTGCTCTGTTCGAACCCGGGTTGGATTGTAAGAGGGTTTCCCGGCCTCTGTGCAATTTTACAATTGAAGCCCTCTGGGCCCCTTTGCATTGTTAAAATTAAAAAAAAAAAAAAAAAAAATTCCCGCTGGCTTTTAACGGCCATCCGGTAGGGGCATCCCGCAAACTAGGGACCGGTACCGGTAGGTGCGTAACGAAAAGATCTGAGGCCCAAACGACACCGGGGTCTTATGGAAAATTTGAACCCTGCTCAGAGGGGCGCGATGTGTAAATCGGCCGTCGGAGGGGCGCGGCGCAACATAACGCAAATTACAGGGGCGGCAGACAAATTTTCCCTTCTTTCTTTTTTTTTTTTTTTTTTTGGCCATTTGCCAAACCTGAAGGGGACATTTTCTGCAAGTTTCCGGCCCGCGGGTGTACTCGCACTCGCACTACCGGGTAGAACATCTCCGAGCGAATCTGGGCGGGATAGCTGACTGGATACATTCCAAAGCAGATGGCCTCCGTCTCGCCTCTGCCGCTTTTCGGATGGCCAGGTCATCTCCCTCCACGCAATGCACCTGGTCGTCCTTCCGTCTGATTACACACATCCGATCTCCCGAAAACGCAAGGACGGGGGAGGCGGGACGTGTTTCCTGGATGAGGACGTTACTCAGACGAGGACTTTTTCGACCGTGCTCTGGACGTGATTGCGGTCAGATGCATCCTCCGGTGGCCGTAATTGCAGTCAGATACATACATCCATAGAGGAACGTGGTACTCTAAGTCTGCCCTTCAGCCAAAGAACAAAAGGCAAGGCGGAGGGTAACGGAGATACTGATGTGTTTGTCTGTTTGCCTGAGGCTGGGATTGGGGTTGGGATGGGGATGGGTTGCTATAGCGACAAGATACCAACGGGCCTCCAGTAGAGCTGAGTGGCTACACCCATAGAACTGTTGATATGCAGATCTGGAATTCGTTCGAATCCAGGTGACAAATGGACGTCGATGAGTGGGGCGAATCGACGGCTATGGGGTTGGATGGCAATTGTTGCAATTGAAGAAGGCGGGTTGCTGATGAGATAGCCGCGGAAAGGTTCTGATGAATGATGAGGTTATCCGACGGTCCAGGGGAGGAGACAGGGAGCTTAACGTTCGACGTGGACATCGCCAGACGCCTAGCGGCCAGACGTGAGGAGCGGTAGGGGGGGGCGGGAAGGAGGGGAGGAGAGGAGAAGTAGGTCATAGTTACACCATCGCCGTGTCTCAGGCTTGAAGCTCATCTATATTGTATAGAGCAGGCGGCCGGCCGGCAAGTGGGTGGATGAGGGCTGACGTGGCAACGGCCACGTCGTCATCAACGACCGTGTCAGGGACGCGAGCTAGCCCGCAGGCGTGACCTACCAGCTAGAGAGAGAGAGAGAGAGAGAGAGAGAGAGAGAGAGAGAGAGAGAGAGAGAGAGAGAGAGAGAGAGAGAGAGAGAGAGAGGTTCAGGGGTTGAAGAGGCTTGACAAGATCAGGAGGTAGGAGGAACAAAAACATTGCCGTCTTCTGGATCGTCGACTTGTAGTACCCACGATGTTGATGTGCCGTGATTAATATTATTATCATTGTTGAGAAAGTAATAATATAATAGTAAGATAAGAAGTGTGTTATTACCTCGTTATATTTTGGGATTTCCTTAACTTTATTATCGATTAGTTTATTTATTCTGCTCGAATTTATTTCTTTTGTTGATGTTTAAATGTTGGTGCTTTCATCGGGTTTATGTTGACCCAAGCTTCAGGGCACTTTTGATTAGGGTGATGATTTCCTCCCCCCCCCTCCCCTCTCCCTTTCTTCTAATTAATAACGGGTGGGTGATTGATGATTGATTGATTGGCTCTGTGGACGCCTTGTTGCCTCCTCGCCTTCTGAGCGGTTAATTAATCTCTCTCAGGAGCGAGGTCGAAGATGCATGGAATGAGAGCATACTCACACTTAGCACTGTTTGTACTAAGCTCTGGACGTGATTGCGGTCACATTCATCCATGCCTGGCCGTAATTGCGGTCAGATGCATTCAGGAAATTGCAAATGTTAGTTTATACCCTGAGCTAAGAGATAAAAAATAATATTCACCGCCGATTTTAATCATCTATGGAAAAACCTATCCGTCTCTCACATTCACCTTTCAGTTAAAAAAAAAAAAAAAAAAAAAGTATAACACATCTTATTTCTATTTTAAAATTTTAATTTAATTAATCCAGCGTCGCCTGCAGGGAAGGCAGCCGTTGCGTCGCAACAAACAAGATGTTGAATCCTTTTTTTTTGTTTTGGTTAATAGTAGTAATTTTAAATAAGTATTTTTTTAATAATTGTTGCTTGTCTGGATAGTCTGGAGTCTGGAGTCTGGACTGCAACGGATGAATTAACGGTCAATGGTATTACTCGCTGCAGGGAGTGCCCTTCTCGAAAAGAACGAACACTGAGCCAGTCTCCCATCGTCTTCCCCCGAATACAACGCACCCCCCCCATCATGAATGTAGGCAAATTTCGTTTCCGGTCAAATACACACACGATGAGGGCTCGCCGCTATCATGAATCTGGACAAATTTGCCGGTCCGATACAGCTCATGATGAGGATGCGTTGTGTTCGGGCGCGAAGACGGCAGTCGTGCACGCATGCGAGTCGTGAAAAAGGTGGTCACGGGATCGAAACACTACCGTCTTCCCCCGAACATAACGCACCCTAAAAATGAATGTATACAAGATATATTTCCGGCCAGATACAGCCAAAATGAGGGTGCGCTGTGTTCGGGGGAAGGTGGTCACGGGACCGAAACACTACCATAGTATTGAGAACAATTTAAGAACGGGAGTTATTATAGTATTTTTAGCAATGAAGTAATCCTAATCGTATAGTAAAGAAAGTCTGAAAATAATTTTAGTGATTACGAAAATAACTTTTATAGTAATTACGAAAAATTCAAAAAAATGATTTCAGTATTACGAAAATAGTGTTCGTAATTACCTAAATATTTTTTGTAACGTGTATATATATAATTTTTGTATGGTGCTAGGCTACCAGAATTGCTCAGGGCCACTTGCCCGGCCGGGTCAAAAAAATAAATAAATCGAATTTGGTAAAAAAAATCGATGTGACCCTGAGGCAAAAGTTGTGCAGTTTATATTTCTGCAGAACATAGGTTTTTTTTTCAGATTTTTTTGATTTTTTTGGTTTTTGTTTTTGTGTTGAGACCTTCCCTGGTCCTTGCACGGCCGGACTGCCGGGAAAGCAAGGTGACCCGGGCGGCCCGGCTGGTAGCATAGGTATCGTGTATGGAATGACAGTATAAAGTGTAATAATAATCTTCACGTTATATTTATACTGTAATTACTAGTTACTGTGATTATTATTTTATTTTATTTTATTTATTATAATTAATTTTATATTTCACGTTGTTATTGCCTCGCGGACTCTTTTCTCGAACAAACGAGAAAAAGAGTTCGAGAGGCAATAATAATGTGAAATATAATATAATATATGAATAAAATCAGAATAAATTTGATAATAATGAGAATAGTCACATTAATGTCATTAAAAATAAATAAATGCAGGTAATAATAATCGCATGAAAATTATCGGTATTGTCCCTTTATTTCGTCCAATCTTAATCGCCACTTTTTTTTTTTAATTAAATAAACATCCTATCATTGTTGTTTTCATTAGGCGTCACGTCCTTGACTTATCTAACGAGGAGAGAGGAGATGACGATAAGGGGGGCCGCCGCGCCACTCGTCAAATGCCAACATTTGGAAATGTATCAGGACTGAGTCGTGTCCAGATACATCCAAAATGTTGGCGTTTGGCGAGCAGTGGGTGCCCAAGATAACAATAAGATAACGCCTCAATGATGACGTGGTGGACATTCTTTGCGTTTTATTTAACATAATATTTTGAATTTATTTATTTTATTCTACGCGTTTTATTTCATATTTTGAATTTATTTATTTTATTCTACGGTGTTTGACAACGTAGATGTCAATGGCGGGGACAACGACGGCGACTACCCGTCTTCCCCCGAATACAACGTACGGTGATTATAGCTGTATTTAGACGGAAAGATGCCGACGAGGATGTTGATGTGGAGGGGGAGGAAGAGGGAGGAGGAGGGAGGAGGGGAAAGGAGGAGGAGGAGCACAGGCGGCGATTGTTCAGCTAATACACGCTCTGACGCTGTTGATGATGATGATGATGATGATGATGATGACGATGATGAGATGATGATGACAATGATGATAATGATGACAATGGTGATGATGATGATGACGATGATGCGACTGTCGATGAGGATGGTGATGATTAGATGATGATGATGACGATGATGATGATGATGATGATGATCGACCGCGAAGATGACGAGTACGATGATTACAGCGACGATGGGCCCGTCGAGGAGAGGGAAAAGTAGATGAACGATAGGGTCAAGGGTAGTAATAGGGGTTGTAATAGGGGAAGTAGGGTCATAATAGGGGTCGTAATTCTTCGGAAGATGAGGTCAATAACGTCTATGATGATGGCGAGGAGATAACGGCTGATGATGGTGATAGTGATGATAATAAGGATTGCGATGATGACCCTAATGACGATGATGGTTATGAATGAAGATGATGGTGATGGTGGTGGTGATGATGATGATGATGATGATGATGATTGTGGTGAGAGGTGGTGGTGGTGATGATGATGATGATGATGGTGATGATGGTGGTGATTGTGATAATAGGTGGCGAGGATGGTGGTCATGATGATGATGATGATTATGATGAGATGGAAGGGCAAGCGGTGGATATTAATGTTGTCCGTCGCTGGATCATTAGTATATAGCTATGTACTCGTATGAAGACTTTCATGGATGTATCTGACTGCATAAACGGACAGATGCAGTGAATCCGTTCTAGCGAAAGTGTACCCTAAGTTGGTTTTTCTTTGCAACGCCCTGGTGATGATGGTGATGGCAACCATCGTCATCATCATCATCATCATCGATTTTCTTTTTCTTTGGTGAGTAAGCCGGCGATCATTACACGAGATTGAAGATAAATTTCGAGCAAGTCGTTGACCGGCGATCACCAAAGCACATTCGCCACGTGGCATCTCATCAAAGTTTTTTCGAATTTTTAACGAATTTTTCTCAAATCTGGAATCGCCGAAAGATACGGATGAGATTAAGAAAGGCCGAGATGAGAAAAAGGGAGAAGGATGGAGAGAGGGGACAGAACCCGCATTACAGGGTTTTATCGGGGTATTAGATCAGGCTGTGGGGGGCAGTGGAAAGAGAGGCTCTGCGGGGGGGTGTAGAGTAGTAGTACTGGCTCGGTGTGAAGCCTCTTTTTCATTGGGGGGCACAGAGAGACACACAGAATGAGAGAGAGAGAGAGAGAGAGAGAGAGAGAGAGAGAGAGAGAGAGAGAGAGAGAGAGAGAGAGAGAGAGAG